AAGAAAGAACAGTGAAAGTCCATGACTTGGTGGCAACCCTGCATTACACAGTGAAGTAGCAACATCTAAGTGTTCGGCTCAATTGGTAGCACTTGGCAGGACAGTTTGGTACCAGGGATTGAATGAAGGGCCTCAGGCATGCTAGGCAAATGCTGTACCACCCTACAGCCCTCTATCTTCTGGTGGCCTGAAGGCGCACTTTCCGTGTAGAGTGGTGTGTAGAGCAAGATGGAACAGGATTTGTGTGTCAAATTATCTATTTTTAAATGTTTGGTCTTTTTGAACTGGGGTCTCCCTGTAGCCCCAGCTGGCCTGGAACTCACTATGCAGACCAAGCTGGCCTTGAACTATAGAGATCCACGTGCCTCTGCCTCCCAAGTGCTGGGACTACAGGCCTGTGCCACCAAGCCCGGGAATATCAAATGTATTTTAGTGAGGGATTTTGTTTTGGTATATTGAGGTAGGGTTTCTCAGTCTAGGCTGGCTTCAAGTCTGGGTAGCCAGGATGATTTTGAGCTCCGTACTGTCATCTCTACCTCCCAAGTATTGAGATTAGGTATGTACCCCCACACCACCAGGCAGGGTAGTTTCTTGGTGTTTTAGTAGTGGCGGGGATTGAACCCTGGGCCTCGAACATGTTAGGCAATCTACCACTTAGGTATAAGTTTTAAGCAAGTCTGCAATGAACAAGACAGTGGAGCCAGCTGTGGTGGCACATTTTCTTTAGTCCCAGCAGGAGGATCAGGAGTTCAAGCCTGAGCTACATGAGACTGTCTCAAGGGGAAACAACATGGCATATGCTTGTAATTCCAGTGCTGGAATGGCAGAGACAGGTGGACCCTTGGGCCTTGATAGCCAGCCAGTCCAGCCTGTTCAGCAAACCCCATGTCCCAGTGAGAGATTCTATCTCAAAACAATGTAGGGGCTGGAGAGGGCTCAGCTGTTAGGTGTTCGGCTCAATTGGTAGCACTTGGCAGGACAGTATGGTACCAGGGATTGAATGAAGGGCCTCAGGCATGCTAGGCAAATGCTGTACCACCCTACAGCCCTCTATCTTCTGGTGGCCTGAAGGCGCACTTTCCGTGTAGAGTGGTGTGTAGAGCAAGATGGAACAGGATTTGTGTGTCAAATTATCTATTTTTAAATGTTTGGTCTTTTTGAACTGGGGTCTCCCTGTAGCCCCAGCTGGCCTGGAACTCACTATGCAGACCAAGCTGGCCTTGAACTATAGAGATCCACGTGCCTCTGCCTCCCAAGTGCTGGGACTACAGGCCTGTGCCACCAAGCCCGGGAATATCAAATGTATTTTAGTGAGGGATTTTGTTTTGGTATATTGAGGTAGGGTTTCTCAGTCTAGGCTGGCTTCAAGTCTGGGTAGCCAGGATGATTTTGAGCTCCGTACTGTCATCTCTACCTCCCAAGTATTGAGATTAGGTATGTACCCCCACACCACCAGGCAGGGTAGTTTCTTGGTGTTTTAGTAGTGGCGGGGATTGAACCCTGGGCCTCGAACATGTTAGGCAATCTACCACTTAGGTATAAGTTTTAAGCAAGTCTGCAATGAACAAGACAGTGGAGCCAGCTGTGGTGGCACATTTTCTTTAGTCCCAGCAGGAGGATCAGGAGTTCAAGCCTGAGCTACATGAGACTGTCTCAAGGGGAAACAACATGGCATATGCTTGTAATTCCAGTGCTGGAATGGCAGAGACAGGTGGACCCTTGGGCCTTGATAGCCAGCCAGTCCAGCCTGTTCAGCAAACCCCATGTCCCAGTGAGAGATTCTATCTCAAAACAATGTAGGGGCTGGAGAGGGCTCAGCTGTTAGCTGCTCCTGCAGACGACCCAGTTCAGATTCCAGTAGCCTTAGCTACACACAAACATGAAAAATGAGCCAGGTGTGGTGACTCATAACTTTAATCCCAGGACTCATGAGGCAGAGGCAGACAGATCTCTGTGTTCAAAGCCAGCCTGGTCAACATAATGAGGTCCAGGCCAGTTGGGATTACAGGGAGACCCTGTCTCAAAAAGACCAAATAATCTAAAAACCAACAGAAGCCGAGTGTGGTGGCTTACACCTTTAATCCCAGCACTTGGGAGGCAGAAGCAGGTGGATCTCAGAGTTCCAGGCCAGCCTGGTCTACATAGTGAGTTCCAGGCCAACTGGGACAACAGGGAGACCCTGTCTCAAAAAAACACCAAAAAAAAGTATATCTCCTGAAGAACATGTGAGGTTGACCTCTGGCTTCCATACACATGATCACATACTTGTATGCATACCCACATACACTTGAACAGACAAATACTTCTCATTTAAAAAGACACTGTACCCAGCATGGTAGTACAGGCCTTTAATCCCAGCAAAATTACCAAAACAAAACAACCAAATAAACCACCAAAAAAGAAAAAGAGACGACAGGGACTATGGTTGTAGCTCTGTTTGGTAGTGCTTACCTACCTAGCATGCATAAAGTCCTGAGTTTGATCCCCAGCACTGCATTCA